ATCCAAGAGTTGAGAGTAGTGTTATTAACTATCTACGTCTCCACTCCCACTATTCTGTTAGACAAGAATAACCCAAGAGTTGAGAGTAGGTGTTATTGTTATTAACTATCTACGTCTCCACTCCCACTATTCTGTTAGACAAGAATAACCCAAGAGTTGAGAGTAAGTGTTATTAACTATCTACGACGAGTGCGCTATAAGAGATATGATCAACTCCCACTATTCTGTTAGACAAGAATAGCCCAAGAGTTGAGAGTAGGTGTTATTAACTATCTACGTCTCCTTTAGCCTTTCGGCTCAAAATAAGATATAGCTAGCTATTCGCGGATAGTACACGTGTAGCTTGACGAGAAATTCTGAAACACACAAATACGCGATTGTAGACTAATTCTATAGAGTGTAGAACCATGTCAGTAATTCAATAATTAATTATTTTTATAATTACGAATTACGAGAAAACATTAATGAAACAAAGCGATTTAAATACTAAACTGTAACCGCTGCTAGCATACCGATGTTGATTTAGAAACACAGACAACGATGTGTGATATGTATTTAATCGCGTTAGACATTAGTGAGGAGTTTGTAAGACTAAAATTAGAGTGTTGGTTTCAGAAGTTACCACAGCTGTTTGTTTTTGTAACAGCAACCAGTGTAAATGGTTCATGAGCTGACAGTAATTGTTCCTCGTGGAACTGATTTTTTTAACCCATAAATTTGTTTTGAGAAAGAGTATTATGTAGGTTAATATGAATCATGTCTGAAACAAGTATCTAACCTTGACTACCAGTTCCGGATTAAAGAATTTCGGGGCTCTGTGTACTATAGAAAATTTGGTTCTACTGTCTTAAGCTGGACAGATCATGTGAACACCTCCACATATTATTATTATTATTAATAAAAGACTTAAAATATTTCTCGGCAGAAAACACACAAGCGCACCTGACAGTGCAAAGTCTTATGTTTTTACTCTAATAATTTGATATCAAGTATAATTAATTAAGAAAATTCTTGTTGAACTAATAGATGGGCCGGGAAAGCGTTATAATCATTATAAAATATAAATGAGTTTATGTGTATTGCTAGTTTAGGTAAGTTGTATACACTTATTTCTTAAACCCCGTTGATGTATTTTCCACCTTTGGTAGCCCCCCTTTGAGCTGAGAATCCCCACATTATTTAATTCGAGCCTCTAGACCACTTAAAATACCCGAAGAAGAATTGTATTTATGTTTATTGGATTATATGGTAAATATTTTGAGAACGAATAAAATAAGGAAAATGTTAAGGAAAAAAACTTATTTTCCTATCGATTCCTATGTTTATTTAGTTGTTTTTTGAAAAAAGTTTTTACTGTGAAGTACAAAGAGTTTATTAGTGTGTCTGTTTTAGCGCAGAGCTACACATCAGACTATCTGCAATTTTTCCACCAAGGGGGAATCGAACCCTAGATTTTAGCTTGTTTTATCGCAAAGATGCATACTGGGCTAACTGGGCTTGTTTTCACAGATGGAATCGAACTTCTAATTCTAGCGTCATAAGCTTTCAAACTCATCTCTGAGCAACCAGGAGACAAATAGTTTGTAGGTTTCTTAATTTTTACTTTAGTTACTTATGAAGAAACATACTTTAAAACCAAAAGTAATAAATTATGCCGAAAATACCAGTTCCTAAACAATCTCAATACTAAGAAAATATTTTTCAAAAACCCATACGTTCCTTATCAAGAGCTTAGATAAATATTAAAGTCCTGTTTTTCTTTTTTTACTTAATCGTACTCTTATTTCAGAGACAAGTGATTTTGTTTGTTTTTTAAAGCTGTCTGGGGTTACGTACTCTGTGAATTATCACATGGTCTGATAACGAGTACCTTTTAAAAGGACTAGGTTAGTTAATAGTAACTGAGCACTGACGGATCCCTTAGGAAAGACAGTGTACGTGTAAAGACAAAAACGCTACGAGTGACGTGAGAGGAAGAGCGATAATCTAAGAAAACATGGCTGTAAAGTCAGAGGTTTTTAATGCAAAAGTTCTGTGATATCAAATGAAGTTTCTATGAAGTAGAACCAATTGGAAAATAATAGACTTGGTGTTATGGAGTTGTTTATTTACTTTACAATGGTTAGAATATTTTCAGCGATGAAGAAGTGATCCAAATTAATATATATATATACCGAGAGGGGATAACAAACCTGTAAAATGAATCTGGGGAGTAGTGAAGTCAAGGATCTCATGTCAGTGTGTGTTAGGAAATATTGTTATATCGTTTGATCGGTTTGGCAGGAAGTAAAATCACAATGGACTTCTACACATTAAATATCGTCACATTAACCTCATTAGTGTAAGACATGTCGAACCAAATATATACCAGCAGAAAACATACCTATATATTTATATAGAGGTAAATATGCTTTTTGTGTATAAGTAATATGATAGCTGTTTTAAACAATGTACATGTAAGTATAAAATTTTTCTTCAGCAAGGTTAGATCTCTCTAGTTTGAATTGGGGTAATATAAAAGGGATTGGAAGTTTAAATAAAGAAATCACACTTTAAAATTTATTAAAAACCTTAGCCGACGTACACATTTTGTAGAATATTATATTACAAGTTACAGCTTTTACAGTAAGTAAGTAAGATTTGCTTTTAGAACAGGTACAAAGTTTCGATCACAAGTGCGATCATTCTCAAGTACACAATTTTTAACGGTAAAGAACGTTTTAGTAAAAGGTGTAACTTCCAATATAATATACTTAATAAGTAAACTCAAAACAAAACTACTAAAGTTTCTGATAGTCTGCTAATACATTTCTTTCATTAATATCGCATAATATCAGTCATGTATACACACATATATATAAATATAATACATTAGT